TCACGTAAACTTTGTATCCACTTTCTGTCCACATAGTTATATTACCAACTGAAATTTATATTATTAATAAACCGTATCCATTATTATGAACAAAAAACTTGTGGTCACATTAACTTACCACATCTTGATTGACGAGCGAAAATATGCAAAAACAACATTGATTGTCTAAACCATCTTTCCACCAATAATAATTAAATTATTTGTCATCATTTTTATTAAATAAAAATGGTTAAAAAAAGACAAACTCAATTAATTCTCTGTAAATGAAAATTAAAGAAAATTACGGCGTTTATAGTGGCTGCGTAGGTCGGCCTACAACGACTGCCTGGAGCTACTCGACGACTCGGTTGACCTCCTAACACGCTCCCTCAACTCAGTCTCGGCCGGGTTGACTCAGGACGTGCTGACCTGGCTTAGCGCGGCCTTGACCAACCAGGACACCTGCACGGAAGGCCTCGACGAGATCCAAAACGGCGTCGTCAAGGACCAAATGTCCGACCGGCTCAAGGATCTTTCCGAGATCGTGAGCAACTCCCTTTCCATATACGCCGCTGGAGACGACTTCTCCGGCGTACCGATCCAGAATCGCCGTTTGTTGAGCGAGGAAAGGGGGCGGCGAGATTTTCCGATCTGGCTATCCCGGCAAGACCGAGAGCTTCTGGATTCGGCGCCGGCGGCGATCGGTGCAGACATTGTCGTGTCGAAGGACGGCGGCAACGGCACGGTGAAGACGATATCGGAAGCTATCAAGAAGGCACCGGAGCACAGTAGTCGAAGATTCATCATTCACGTGAGGGCAGGAATGTAATTTCCTTTCACCAAAAGTGGTGTTGTTTGTTACTGGTGTTTTTTTTTGGCCTTTTTTGTAATTGCCTTTTCATAATTACTTGTGCGACTTCATGTTCCTGTCATCATCATCATCATCATCATCATCATCATCATCATCATTATTATTATTATTATTATTATTATAATTTTGTAATTCCATAGGTTTCTGACTATGACTAACTTATAAATTAACTAAAAAAACAGATTTTGGGTACGCGAAGATAGATTTTTGTAAGAAAAAATTGTTTCATACAATATTCTTAGACATGAGTTATGTATTTTTATTATTTGAAATAATATTCAATATTATTCAATTGTAACACAATATATTAATTAATTTATAAAATTATAATATAACAATTTCACGATTCGATGGAGTGAAATCCTATATAAATAACAAATGTTCGTATACGGTATAGATACACCTATGTTTCATATTCTTTTTTAACTGTAAATTTCTAGATTTATATTAATAATTAAAGTAACTTGGAATTTTGCATTTTATATGTATAGAGAGAAAGAGATTTATAAAGGAAACTGAACTCCTTTCAAGTGATGTGTTATAGGTATGAGGAGAAAGAGCTGAAGTTGGGGAGGAAGAAGACAAATATAATGCTCATTGGGGATGGGAAGGGCAAAACAGTCATTGCAGGTAGAAAAAACGTCCAGGAGAAAATGACGACATTCCATACAGCATCTTTTGGTAAAATTCATTTTCTTCTCCTTTTTCTCTTTTTCAGTTTGTGGAGTTGAAAATAATGTACTGTGACATGTGCATATGGATAGATTAAAATAAATTTTTATATGTTATATATGTATATGTATTATTTAAAATAATAAGTTCCATAATAAAGCATATCTCATTTTATAAATTTTATCATTAGCAAATACGAACGATATAAATATAAACTATTCAATTTACATATTAATATTTATATTGATCGAAATAACGTTGACTTTTGCATGATTATGACCAATTAATTAAGTAAATGATATTAAAATTATTACTATAGCAATTGTATGCTAAATTTCAAAGTGTTTGTCTGTATTATAAAAAACAATTAACTAATTCTAATATAAAACTTTCTTAGTGTGTTGAAAAAATAAATAAATAATAATTTAATAAATAGTTAGAAGAAAAAAATAGCATATAATATAATTTAGTTTGACTTTATGATTAGTTAATAATAACTATTGTGTATTAAAATAAATAAAAAATATAATTACTTAATTAGTGAAAAAATACGAAAAATAGAGGAAAACGAAATGAGTTTTATTAAAAAGTTTACCTACAACTATATATAAAATATAGATGATCTGAATGTGCGTGGGAAGACTTGTCATGTTTAGTGCCTAAACTTATCATAAATTAATAATAAAACTTAATTCATTGGTTCTAATGCTCTTTTTCTACATAGGATCCTCAAGAGCATCAGAGTTTGATTTGATGCAAATCTTTCTCAATTTCACTCAAGGTGCTTTTGCTTTCTAGATCTTTCAACCAACCTTTACCTAACCAATATTGTTGAATCCCATAATTGTCATACCACATTTTGTATTCCCTACATTTCATTTTTAAATATATTATTTAAAGTTGCATACTAATAAGTTCTTAAATAATTTCATTTGAAAGTAATATATTTCATTTAGGATGTAGGATGACTAGTAAATACTAGTATTGACATGCATTTGTACATACTTACAATTGTGGGCATGCATGCATGTAGCCGCAACCGGGGCCGGTTTCATGGCTAGGGACATAACGTTCGCGAACTACGCGGGCCCCACCAAGCACCAGGCCGTGGCCCTTCGAGTCGGGGCCGACCACGCAGTGATCTACAGGTGCAGCATCATCGGCTACCAAGACACCCTTTACGTCCACTCTCAAAGGCAGTTCTACCGAGATTGTGACATTCACGGCACAGTCGACTTCATATTCGGGAACGCAGCAGTCATCTTCCAGAACTGCAACATCCATGCTCGCAAGCCGATGCCCAATCAGAAGAACACCATCACCGCCCAAAACCGCAAGGACCCCTCACAGAACACTGGAATCTCGATCCAAGGGTGTCGGATCATTGCAGACCGAGACCTCGAGGCCTCTAAGTCCACCTATCAGACCTACTTGGGTCGACCGTGGAAGATGTATTCTCGGACAGTGTACTTGCAATCCTACATGGGAGACCACATTCACCCGAGCGGCTGGCTCGAGTGGAACGGGAACTTTGCCCTCGACACGTTGTATTATGGGGAGTACATGAATTTCGGACCGGGTGCTGCTTTGGGCCAACGTGTGAAATGGCCCGGTTATCGCGTGATCAAGTCCGCAGATGAGGCGAGCAGGTTCACGGTGGAGAAGTTTATTTCAGGCTCCGAGTGGTTGCCCTCCACTGGGGTGGCCTTTGTGGCAGGGCTTTCGAGTTGAGTCACCGCTGCTATACTAGTAAAATTGGTTAGGGTTATCTATATAAGGCTCTAAGTCTCTTGATGCCTTATATATAATCCTTTTATTTCATTTTATGATTCAATTTTTATTTGACAGACACTTGTTTATGTTTAATTGTAATTCAAGTGAAGGTGTCATTTATTTGAAGAAATGTAATTAGTTGAAATAATAAAGTTTAGTCCATATAAATGTCAAATGGTCCAGATTTGGAAAGTATGGAAAGAGACTCTAGGCTTTGCAAGTGTGTTGGGTCATTTTACATAGTCCAAAAGTGGCTGGGGTAGATAGATAGATAAATTACATACAAAGACCCAAGACGAACATTCGAAAGGATTGTGGAACTCCAACAACTGGTGAAATAAATGTTGATTTAAATCTTCGCCTGTATTAGCTTAAATATTAAAACCTGTCACTAACCCTAACCGCCGGCCAGGCTTTGAAATTCTGTCAAGGCTCTCCAATCGCACCAGCTGACATTAGATGTGAAATGAATTAAAACCAAAAAATTGACCAATGTATTGTAATTGCAATGAGCTGTAGTTCATTTGCCCCTTTAGCGTTAAACACACAAATTATTTGATTTTGGCACAACATTATGATTAGCAATGGTCAATTTGACAAAAAACCCATCTTCTTCTCACACACACTTAAAAAGATTAGCTACAAAGATTGGGTATGGGAGTCGGGATTGTGGTGCTCCTTCCAAATGCGGCCCGTGACTCTGAGCTTGAGTTCGTTTCTGTCTCCACCGGAGAAAAAGAGGGCCATATTGCGTTGTATGATGAGGCCGTCGTGACTGTCCCTGACCTTGCGGTGGGTGTCGCGAATGCTTCGTGGGGTCCCTTCCCATGTGAGCTTCCGCCCGTTGCCTCCGACTTCGAGGCTGTAGCTGTAGTTTCGAGCCTCCGTCTCGTCTCCCATAAAACGGAGAAAGGCCATGTAAACGGGTGCCATTCCCAGCTGAAAGGCCTCAAAGTGGAGGCAGAAATATTGTCCGAAACAATGGAATACCTAATAGTGCAACCACACTACAAAATTATGCTAGAGAGAGAGAGAGAGAGAGAGAGACTACTTAGGTCTAGACTAATTACAGAAGGACCCAGACATTTCTACAAATTTGTGATTGGCCCCTAGTAAATTTCAAACAATAATTTTCAAAGCTCTTAGGCCTAGGATGGATAGGATGGGGGATCAGGATAGGGATAAATCCTATCTGTCATGTATGTGGCTGGTGGGCACACGCCTGTAACCATTACTGGCTGGCAGGATAATTCTATCACATCTTATGAGAGTGGGATATTTTTATCCCAACACAAAAATGACCTTCTTGTCCAAAAAATGACATGTATAATGTCCATTATACCCTTGAATGCCCAAATAATTATAGATTTAGTAAGCTGGCTCATGAGACAAAAGCCGACTCATTGAATTAAACCATGAGGAATGAGGAACATAAACCATGTCCTATCCCATCCTATCCCATCCCTTCAAGTAAACAAGGAACATAAACTATGTGATGAATGTTCGTTTACAAGAGTCATTGTATAAATACGTCCATATAGTTGCATATACTAATACAAGCTATGGGCTAATTACATATACAAAACGGATGTTAAACCAACCAGCTGTACTTCAAGATAACAAAAATAACCCATTATGGCATATACAACCCCTTGAGCTTTTAGTTTTTTTGGATTCGTCCCTGCTAAAGCTGTGACTTGTAAAATGGGGGGAAAAAAATGAAGGGTTATATGTAACTTTGCATACGTAGTTTTTGTTTTGTTTTTGTGGGAGTAGACTAAACCTTTAGAAATTTAGTGCCCCAGGAATTATATATCCACTCAATATAAGCACATCAAGACATATACACTGTCAATTATTCACTTAACATAGTCTCAAGCTACTATCAAATTCAAAACTCAATTTAGTTTCACTTCCTTCCTTAACGAGGTAAAAATGATTTTTCCAAATTATATCAATTACAGAAACTTATATAATTACAATCTTGAATATTACAGAAACTTACATAGAAACATCATACTACCAAAATGAAGTAGCCACAGTTGAACATGATCGGTCTCATAATTTATGTGTTCAATACCAAAGGTTGATAGCCAAAAGGAAGTGCTAAAGAAAAGTAAGAAAACATGCAAAATCAAATGATAGTTAAGTCTCACTGCAAAAACAATAATCGCTAGCTACAAATCACACCCAAGATTCAAACCAATTACAAAAATCCAAATCCATTTCAAAATTCCTAACAGAATGGTTTCGAACAAATAACTCGTTATTTTGAAAAAGAAAAAAAAAATACTCATTTTTCTTTTTCTTTTTTGTAATTAGGCCAAACATCAGGGATGGCTACTCAAAATAACCCCACAAAATAATCAAACCTACAATGCAAGCGCAGACGGAAGTAAAAAAAGAGAAATAACAATTAACTCACCGTTAACATCCACGTTGCATTTTCCACTTCACGAGGATTGGACTTCACATAACGATGATTAAAAGTACAGCCCGCGTGCATGTCCACTTTGTGGTCGTCTCTCAAATGCTTAACCAGAAAAGGAATATCACACGTCACAGCACATTCTGATCCGGCATACGGGCAGTTGTATGGTCTGAAATCACAAACAGCCTCGTGTTTGAGTTTGCTGTAGTAAGGGAAAATTTTTGAACATCCCAAGGAATAGTATTTGCACGGCAGATCAAGTGACTCAGCAACTTTTTCTAGTGCCAAGCACCTAATGTCCCCGAGTTCTTGTCTACAAGTGGGGCACCGATTATGGACCCTCGCTTTGCATGTTGAACAAAGTGTGTGCCCGTTATGACACTGAAAAAATAAAAAAGTATAAAAGGCAAATATCATTCGATTCAGTTTCTCTAGTTACTCAGATTAATTTGTTTTGCGGCTTTACGTGTTCGTTTATCGTATTTCACAACAGTTGCAAGTGAATTAGACGAGTCTATAAATGAAAAACGGCGAGGCGAAAATTCTTTTAAATGATTGTTTCTTAAATTTCTGATCGACGATCTTTGTGGCAAACTCTTACACTGTTTAGAGATAAAGTTAGCATTTGAAATCACAATTTTTTTTTTTTGGGTTTCTTCATTCTCCACTATGGCCAAAAGCTAAAAGTAACTTTTTTTCATAGGACTTCATAATTAATATCATCAACAGAAAGTCTGGCATCCAATTCCTAATTTTCCTCACAAGATAAACAGATAATACAATCTCAACCAAAAGAACATGCATCACTGCACAAAATCGTAAACTAACAGAAGAACATACAGGGAACAAAATGCTGAAAACAAAATCACAAGCACTAACTAGCAAGCAAAAGGCAGACCTGATGAATCGGTGGGTACATAGAATTAGTGCAAACAGGGCATTCCAGCAATTCATAGACACTTGTAGGGGCAATTCTGGAAACCGCACCATGAGGCTTTGAAGAAGAATACTGATGAGGATCATTTGCATGAAGCCGATGAGAGGCAACTGATGATCGGATCTCTTCATCTTCAATTTCATCCGATGAAGAAACACACTCGACATTTTCCATTTCCATTGCAGCCATTTTTTGTTTGATTGAGAAAAACAATTTCTACCTCTGTCCCAAGGCCCAATCTTTTTTTTTCCCCTTTCTTTTCCAAAATTATCAGATGCCAACTTCTAAAGAACCCATCTTTTCTCAAGAAAAAATGGATGCCCTAAGACCCAATTTGATTGTCTTTTCAATCCCAAGTTCCTAACAAATACCTCCCAGAAATTTCAGCTAGCTTCTTTCATTTTTTATTAGGAAGCTGATATGCCCTCTTCCAAAAATTGAATCTTTGGTTTATATATGTCTGAATTTCAACCTTTCTATGAATTTCTGCAGATAATCTCAAGAGCCCAACTCTACCATTGGCGAAAAATGCCTCAATTTTCCTCTTTTTCTTTTTGTTTTCTCTTTTCCTCTCCCGTTTACTATTGTTTATCTATTTAATGGAGAAAATAAAGAAACTGAAAAGAATCGAATGGAAATAAGAAAGAAGGAGGCCGGTTCGAAAAAATAAACCCCAAGTCCCCAACAAAAGATTGTTCTCCTGCTGGAAAGGTGGTTCGCTTTCTCTCTCTAGATTGCTAGAGCAGAGTGAAATGAGGATCGCCGTTCATTTTTCATGATTGATATGGGGATGTTAATCCACGGTTGTAGAAGAAGCACTTTTCTTTCTTGTTTAAAATATTCGCAATTTGTTGCGTTGGTCTACATTAATTGTTTGACATTAAATTGGAACAAAAATTCTATTGAGCTATCATGATTTTTTTTATGGAATCATTTACTACTTAATGTATTGATACATACACAAAGTATATTTATTGTAGGACATGTGTCAATATACTATTGGTGAATAAGTGTTGATGACTCCATCAGTCGAGTCATCCGATGACTCCATAGCATAATTGTAAATTGAAAATCTCGAGTTATACTTTAGAATCGAGAGCATCTCGGTATTGTAATATTGTCCGAATTTAAGAGATTCAAATTTATTTTATTTCCTTATTCTATAATTTGTTTAATTAAGGATTAAGCTCGGCTAATTATTGCGTAGGAAATCAAGAGAGATTGCTTACTATATTGGAGAATGAGGACACTTACCTATTTAAGTGCGGATGGGATAAGAAGCAACTTACTATATGCAAAGATAAGAGATTGTAGAAAATGAAATAGTTGAAGTCAAATAAGAAAAGCAACATACTAGGGGAACTAACCTTATGAAGCAGCATATATGAATAATTGGACTGACCATATGGGGTACTAGTGCAGAGCCCGTGCAATGCACAGGGTGCACAATTTTAAGGCTATTTATCCAGTCTTATAATTATATACATGAATAAAGAAAAATATATGATATATATATATAGTACGTAACCCGTGCGAGGCACGGGATGTATTTATTTGGAGAATATTATATTATAAGATGCAATATTAAATAGTATTTGACAAAGAAACAATCATATATTATTAAATACCTCCTTGTACACAACATTATGAGTTTGATTATTGGACAACTCGTCATTCTCACAAACTAAACATGTACAAAAAATCAATCATAAAAAATTAATTTGTTTAAAAATCATAAATAATGTAAATATCTAAATATATACACGATCTCTAGAAGAAATAAGGAACATTCTAAATTTTAAAAATAAAAAATATACGTTTCATATTTCGAAATAAAAAAAAAGAAGTAAAAATAATTTTGCTTACAGTTTTATCGTGCAGAATCAACTCGAGATAGGATTTGTACGTGCTGCCCCAGTCTTGTAAAAATATTCTTACAATTAAAACTTTAAGCATAGGTCTATTAGACCTATTAACTTGTTTGATTAAGCAAAATCCTTGATTCATTATTTTGAATGAAAGACTGATTGGGGATATTTTTTTCGCAGGAGGTTGAAAGTGAGGAAGACGATGGCTCAATATTTTGAGATTTATGATTTATAATTAGTAGAGTAGAATCAATATCTGTTATGATTTTTAAGAAAAAATCTTGATAAATGTAAATCACATTATATGTAGAGGAACAAATCAGATCATATTTTCCATACAATTAGATAAGATTTTTTGTACAAAGATAAGAAGGAATTTTAAATCTACACAAACTATAAATATTAAATGTATTGATTTACGTAAATCAATATCTATATAGACAACCAAACCTTCAATTTAGGTTTGACCTACTGATTTATTTTTGGTAAAATCATGATTTTATCATCCGATCAAACTGCCTTTTTGTTTGTTTTACGTACATTTTTTTATACCGATTTTATGGGAAAAAACAATTAAATAAAAATTAATTGATAGAAATAGAATGCATTAATTACCTTTGACTTTTCTTCCTACTAATTGTAGTAAATGGGATGGCCTCTTTATATAAGTATAGATACATTATATATTAAATTATTTTTTAATTAGTTTTTGGCAGATTTATACCAGTATATATTAAATTATTTTCAATAGATTTATACCAGTATATATTAAATTATTTTCGGCAGATTTACAACAGATACTACTTGTATTGTACGGACATTAGTGTATTGTACGGATTTGGATTCCATAAACAAAGATTTGCATCAATCATATACAATGAAATAAATCCCTCCACAAAAAATGAGAAAAGTTGAGTCCAAATTGTGAAAAAATTAATGTAATGGCGTGAAAGAAGGATTTATTACATATTATCTGTTGCAGTTAATGCTCGCTATTTATTAGGCCGAAATTAATGCAATGGCGTGTAACAAAAACAACTCATATGGAATGATTTTATGATAATTAATTCGGTGTAATTAATGAGGCGTGTGAAAAGGACATAAAACCTGCCATTTTTGGAAAATAATTAATGCAAACCAGACTTTGACCATAAATTGACCTACTAATTTTGATAAATCTTAATTCTTATTATATATATATAGATTATGGTTATTGCTTATCTCTTTCATTTGAGAGTGGTGAAAAAGAAGAGTGATTTGTGATTGACTTGAGTGAATATTATTTTTGAGTTTATTGAATAGTTGAATCAGTGAGTCTGTTCTCTGATTCAAACATGGTTTATTTTCTTAGACATTCATGGTGTTTGGAACGAGCAATATTATACATCAGTTACACAATTATTGCATATACATCAGTTACACAATTATTGCATATTCATCACACAATATCTTCGCACTTTAATTTTTTTTTNCATACATCATACTTCTCTTTTTTTTTTTCCAACGACATAAAATTCTCAATAAAAAACGCCAACCGGCAATGTACAAGGGCAAAGCCCGAATCCTGGGTAACTGAGAGGTTACAATAGCACCAATGCAACCTAGACCGGAATACTGCTCGCAACGCGAGAAAACCAGACACAACAAACACAAATAAACACTACTACAAAACGACTAATACAAATAGAGAACCCTCCTAACAGGAGAATACCCGGAATAACTACTAATAAAAAAGAGAAACCTCCCAACAGGAGAATACTCGAGTGCGCTCCCAACAGGAGAATAAGGTTGCACACGAGCCCACTGGAGCCATACTAGCACACAACAACAACAGCAACAAACCAACAACACAAACACGAAAACAAAAACGAAACAAAGAAGATAAATAACACTGGCCCTTCCTCAGCTCGTCGACACCGCCCCAACCAGTAGTGATCGATCGTCACAAGAAAGATCCCGAGTCCAAGTCCCGCTACTGAAACTGCACGAACGCCTAGCAGTAGGTGAACCCAATACCCAGAAGATTCCCCGATACGACCCGCCATTGACCGAAGAGAAACCACAACCAACCCAACCCTCACACCCAATCCCCCTGAGCACATCTAACACCACTAGATGCACTCAACTAGACCGGACCCCCGCCGCCTAACACCACTAGCCGAACGGAGGATTGGGATGGTGTCGTGGCCCCTCAACCCTGACGCCGGCGAGACCAACTCCCGCTCGCCGCCAGAGACCCACCCCCTTACTGACCCAAACCAGTCAAAATCACCGCAGTCCACCGACATTAAGTCGAGAAGCCCCAAAACGGAGCCCCACCGGAAAAGCCCCAAAAAGCGCCTCACCAGAAAAAGCTCACCGTCCGAGGGGAGCCCCAAAATCACGACCAAAAACGCAGCAGGAGAGAAAACTTACCTCCAATTGAGACCGGCTGACAATCACCGCCACCAATTGCAGCCCAATCGCCGACCGAAAGGCTCGCCCCGTCTCGCCGCGACCTCGCCGTTGACCTAGGGTACAACCTCCCTGCGAGCATCGGGAACACTACGGCAACATCAGGTTCAGCTGAGGGGCCGGCGGTCGAAGGCGACCACCAGCCGAAGGCGCGCCGCCGCCAAGGAAGGCTTCACTGGATGAAGAAGAAGCTCGGCTTTGTCGCGGTCTTTTGAATCGCCAGAGAAGAGACGGAAAAAACGATACATACTTCTAATTTCATAATCTTTTCATACATATTCATCAAGTTATGAAAACTTTAACTTTAATAGTGAACATAATCTTTATCTTGCATGTTCATCTTCATATATTCATAACTCAAGTTATACTTTACTAAATCTCTTAATTCTTGTTCTCATGTACTTCTCTTTTACATAAGAATCATTCATTTAAATCATATAATTCCAGTTTATTCATATATTTATCATCATCTTATCAAATTCAAGCATGTACATCATATAATTGATCTTGAATATATTTAACTCTTTATATTCATAGAATCAATTATAAACTTAACTTCTTTATCATGTTTATACATACTTATAAACATGTAAACTTAACATCAAAACATAAACTTAAACATTTACTTTAAGATAAGTGAGTTACCTCATCTTCTTGACAAAGTAAAAACTTCATTCTTTACTTCATCTTCTTTACTTCTCCAAAGTTTCTCCCACTCATTCTCTCTTTCACTTTTATTTAACTTTGGAACTTTATTTTGGTGTCAAAAACTCTGAATTTTAGGCCTCTATTTATAGGCACAATTTGCAAGACATCATAATTGAGTGAAGAAATTAACAAAGTAAACAATACAAACTTGTAAAAATAAATATAGATAATAAATAGTATTCTTAACTTGTAAACTTCTCCAACCCATAGTAAATGCTTAGAAAGGCCCCTCTTCTGATCCTAATCTGATCTCAATGATTAAATTCGAGTTTTAGTGAAAATTCTCCAATTTACGGAACCAAATTCTGGCTTAAAATGAACAGTTACCGTAAAATCGAAAATTCTTACTATTTTCGAATTTCCTTCTTTTCTTTTGGCATTTTTCCTTTTTATGCTAAAAAATTTTTTCTTATCTTGTAGTCTACTAAAAAAATAGAGAGAAAATAATTTAATTTATTTCTCGGAACTGAAATCGGACATAAATTCCTACTACAATCGAAAACCGAAAAAAATGAAAATTCTAAAAATTTCATATTTCTCTCTAATAATTTAAACAGACTAAAATGTCTAAATAAATTTCTCACTTCTTTGAACATTTATAACTTAAATGTTCATGGATACTTAACCGAACTCGAGACCTAACTTGTCTCGACTCATTATTCTTTTTCTTTCTCATTCAAACTATAAATGGCCAAATTTACATTCATTTAGCTAAATAAAATGGAATGTTACTTGAACTTGAATAACTTATTTCACTTCAATAAACATTAATGTGTAATTAATCCTTATAACTTGATCAATACTCAAAACTAAGCTAGGCTCGAGAATTATTTATTCGGTAAT